TCCAAGTCACAGCCTCTTAACTTGTTCACCAGTATGGTGGTGGATACCGTATCGAAGGCCTTCCTGAAGTCTAAGTAAACAACGTCAACCCCTACTCCTGCGTCCAGGTGTTTTGTAACCTGGTCATAAAAAGAGACTAGATTAGTCAGGCATGATCTACCTGCTACGAACCCGTGCTGGTTTCCCCTCAGCATAATTTTTCCTGCTGCGCTCTCGCAAATGTGAGCCTTGATAATTTTGTCAAAGACTTTGCCAAGGATGGAGGTGAGACTGACTGGCCTATAGTTGCCCGGGTCCTCCTTCCTCCCCTTCTTGAAAATGGGGACCACATTGGCCCTTTTCCAGTCCTCCAGGACCTGGCCTGTGCTCCACGAGTGTTCAAATATTACCGCCAGTGGCTGTGCAATGACGTCAGCCAGTGCCTTCAGTACCCTCGGATGGAGCTCATCCGGGCCTGCCAATTTAAATGCATCCAGTTCCTCCAAGTGCCTCTGCACCATCTCAGGGTCTACGCATGGTAGTCTGGCGCCCTGCTGCTGCCTCCCTACAATCTAGAATGAGTTTCCTAATACTGTATCTTTTCTTCAAAATAGAGCACAATATAAGGGTAATGAAGAAGATTTATGATCCTCAGCAAGGATTTCAGTAGTAATAATAAAAAAAAATCCTGTTCCCTGAGCATCTAAAACCTGACATATTCAGTTAAAGCCCATAATTTATAAATATGTTTTAACATGCAGATCAGCACCAAGTGGGAATTTACAAAAGTACAAAAGCAGGTCTGTCTAACTCCCACTGAAGTTGGTACAAGTTAGTATCCAACAACTCTTTTTTGTGCTTCTCTAAAACCCACTGCATCTTTAGATGCTTAAATGTCTTGGTAGCTCTAGTCCTTATCCACCCAAAGACTTGGAATGGCTACATTTTCATGTTTCCTATGTATTCATATGAGATGTTTTGAGCTGAGTATTTGCATTTGTGTAACATTAAATAGATGTTTTGGGCTGAGCATTGTATTTGTGCAACACTAAATGTTTTTCTCCTGTATTTTGCCAGGTAGCATTCACAAGCCTGTACCAAACAGTTAATCATAAGCAATGTGGCCAGCTTTAAAACAAATACATTTAAGCCGAGCAAATACCCCTGAATCCAACGTTAACCAAGCTAAGACTGGAAAAGTGAAAATGTTTAATGTCTCAACTCTACCATTTACTCTGTGCTCTGCAGGCTTCATGCTAACAAAATGAAATCAATAACATTCTGAAACAATGAGCAGCAGCACCCAAGTGAAGCCTTCCGACATGCTGCACCTTTTCTTCAATTTGTTTTATTACTTTGGGTAAAAAGGGGATAAACAAGCATTTGCAAATTGATCCTTTCCCCGCGTATACAACCAATCCTGAAAAGAATTTATGCACACTCTTTTAGTTTAAATATAACTACTACTAGCAACTCATTCAACAAAAATGTAAACCTCAACCTAGAGGTGTTCCTACAGAAACCTCTCTGTCCTAGGTCTAGGTCTCTTGTCCCACAGAATCACTTGCACCTAACTTAAGCCCGGGTGAATTTAGCAGGCTGCATCTGCCATGCTACTGACCTTTGCCTGTCTTAGTTTTATGTAGGATTCCAGCACCTTCTAAACAAAGTGGGTCACATGAAGAATTCCTCTCCCCAAAACCCTCCAGCTGCCCACTGCCACTCTCTTCCCATCATACTTTCATTATCCTCTCTTTCTCTTCTCACTATTTACAGATCTCTATCCTGCCACTCTCCTCTCACAGTTCAACCCAACCATCACCCAAAATCCCAATTATTAGTGAAAACAGATATACGCACATGGAAAAAAACCAGTAAGACAACTGTTCATCATCATCCCAACTGACTTCTGAGCACAATGCCATTCCCTCCCCACCCAACCCCCAAGACACTGTTGTCAGATGGTGTGATACTCAGGAAAGGGATTGCTTTTTCTTCTGAAAAGTACTTAGTGAATGTGTGCTGTCACAATATAACACACTGACCTTTTGTAACTCTGTTCTTCCTTTGTTTCTGCAAAACAAGTGGGAAAAAAGGGATTAAAAATATCTGATGTAATAGTAAAGTATATCTGAGAATTCTCATAGATTTGTCCTATTAATCTGTTTCTTCTTAGATTCAATCAAAAAATAAAGGTATAACATCAGGGCACTACAAGGGTATGCAGAGCTTCCTCAAGAACCTAAGGGAGACCCCAGAAACCACTCTTACTACAGCCAGATCAGCTTTTGGATCCTCATCTTCCACCTCTTACCATAGACATTTTCTCCTGAATTTTTTGGGCTATGGTGTCCACTCCAATCACATACCTAACCGCGCCTTCCTCTTCTATATTTCCTTCATCCTCTTCTCCCTCCAACTCAATCCCTGCTTCTTT